CCCCAAAACCCCAAAACCCCAAAACCCCAAAACCCCTAGGTAAAATTAGGTGATTGAATGTTAAACTAGGATCTAGTGCACTGAGTTAATACTCTCAGAAATCATTGCTGAAATGGCATCAATTGCTTTAGTGCATTCTCCTCCAATTAGGGGCACCATACCAAAGTTAAGGAAGCCATGCGATAAGAGTCTGTTGTCGATTACTTTGACATCTTTGCCAAGCTGGCAGAGCCTGTATGCAAATTTGTAACCATCATCATGCAACGGATCAATGCCAGCGAGTGACATTCTGACTCGTGGAAATTTCATCAACATAGCATCTGGGAAGAATATAGGAGAGAGGAAAGGATGCTCTTCTGAAATCATTCCTCTTGAGTAAGAGCTGATCACACAGGAGGTCATCAGGCCGTTGAGAATTTTATCATCAAAAGAATTTATTCTCGAAGGTGTAAATTTATCTAAATCTTATTGGCTCGGTACTTACTTCCTCAAATTAATAAAGCAGGGTACGAAAGGATCAAAGAATCTGGCACTCGGACACCTTTGGTGATTCATAGGCCAACAAGGGCAGTAGCTAGGTTTCCTCCTGCGGAATCGCCTGAGATTAGAATCTTCTCAGGTTTGATCCCTCATGAGTTTTCGACGTTATCAATTATCCATCTGTATGATTGCCATCAGTCATTAAGCGCCATTGGATAAGGAGCTTCTGGAGAAAGAGTGTAGGTGATCATGAACACTGGGATATTGTTCTGTTTCGACCACCTTCTTAGATACACCTGATGTTGCGAGGAAGACTGGCTGATAAATCCTCCACCGTGAATGTGGATTAAGATTGCATTTCAATCAGTGACTCTTGTCTTCACTTCCTGAGGATTTGGGTTGAAATGGACAGGGAATGGGGATACTATTCTGAGCATCTTATTCATTTTCTTCGGTTTGAAGCTGAAGGTGACTTCTTTTGATATTATTTTGTTATGATTCTCAAATTTGAAAGACTCTGAACCTCTGAGTTTATTTTATGAACTTGTATTCTGAATCAGCGCTATTTTTAGTATTTCGAAGGATGAAGTCATCCAGAGACTTGTTTAAACTTTCAGCAGTGAGGTCTTCATACTCAAATGGAATGTAGATCTTCTTATGAACTTTTATCTTTGGATTGAGAAAATAGAAGACGAACCTCGAGAGATCATTTCCACTAGCTCTGACAATCTTCAAGATCAAATCTATATCTCCAGAGGAGACAAAAGACTTGAACTGGGTTTGCCTTCTTCTTTTTGAAATTAAGAAGATAGGTGCCCACCAACAGCACTTTAGGATTTTCATAATATGGCTTTCTCTGTTTAGTGTTTTGCTAACGACAGCAAGGGAGAATTCTACTAAATGGGAGAAATACTTGACTCTTGTCATAAAAGACTCCATGTTAACAGGATACTCTAGCTTACAGACTTGTTTAAATTGCTCGAGTTTATTCTCACCGATTTGTCTAGAGAATAACTTACTGAGACTTACTGTAGGTAGAAGACATCATCTTCAGGCATCTTTAACACTTCGCTAAATTTTTCATCAAAGACTTTAATAAATTCAGCTCTATAAAAGAGCTCGGAGTAGTCATGATTGTTAGGAGACTGAAGCAGGTTGTTCAAAGCAGTCTCTATCTTCAGTAGAATGATAATGTAGGTCTCAGTGGCTAATGCTGCTGGGCTCACACCATATCTGATTCCTTTTGGACCTTTCTTTTTGCTATCTTCCAGCTCTTTTCCTACTATTAGGTGAGAATTTGCTGACGTTCACCGATTTAATCCTGGAGAATCTTTTCACAGTGAATTCTCAAGGATTGGAGACTCAAAGTATTTATGGGTTTTATAGAAAGAGTATTTTCTTGTAGGTGGTACTTTGAATTCCTCTCAGTTCTTTTTCTTTGATATTTTATTTTCAGTAGTGAACTTGTCGATGATTTCAGAGTAAACGTCATCGAGAGACTCCTTGTCTTGTTTTTCTTTGAATCTAGAAAGCCTTATCAGGAAAAATTTGATTTTATCCTTGGCTTTTATGAGGGAGATTTGAGTTTTCTTCGTTCTTTCACCATAGTGCATGAAATAAATGTCTTCTTTTGAAAGTAAGGTTTCAAATTTTTCTCACAACTCTCAACATAAGGAATGTGCAAAATCTAGATAGAGTATGAGATCTTCGAGTGTATATCTGAAGTCTTGTCTTAATGGATTTAGCAGTTTTCCATAACTGAACGAGGTCTGTTCAATGATAGTATCTCTCAACTTTGTTAACTTATTTTCAAGAGTTTCCATAGTTAGTATTTTAACAAAATGCCTTATAATTAAAAGTAAATCTTCAACCAATTATTAAATATTCGGGGTTTTGGGGTTTTGGGGTTTTGGGGTTTTGGGG